TTGCCCCGGCGCCCTGGATAGCATTACTCTTCTATGTTATGAGTCAACTTTACCGCATGAAATCATCACCTATTAAGCCTCCCATTTGAGAAAAAAAACCATAAGAACTTTGCCAAACACAATTATAGACCACGTTGGATATGTGTTAAATTCGAAGCTCGGTACCCGGGGATCCCACCTCGTTCACAATGGTTTCATGTCTTTTTAAGTGGTTTACCTTTGCAGTTAAGTCTAGAGGGGTGAAGAGAGCAGATTTAAGTACATGTATCAATAGAAATCTGAATGGTCTCGAGGCACGATAGCAAGGTGTGTGGCTCACTATAAGGGCATGTCGAGACCCAAAAGACGATTGTGGCCGGCCACCGTGGAAAGGGTGGGAACTTACTACGTATGATTCCAAAGAAATGCATTGATCAAAGAAGACATCTTCTCCACATTCCTATAATAATGGTGCTGAGACCTGGACTTTGTTACAGAAAGAAAACAAAATAACTGCGTTTAAAATGTGGTGCTACCGTAGAATGGCCAGAATAAGTTGGGAAGCAAAAAAGGTGAACAATACGGTGTGTCAGATTCTCCACACAAGACCAACTCGGCTGAATGAAATAAAAGGTAGGAAACTACAATACTTAAACCACTTAAAAAGACATGAAACCATTGTGAACGAGGTGCTAGAAGGAGGGATGTGGGGCAGGAGGGCCAGGGGACAGGGGAAGACAAAGAGAAACATAGATGGACAACATAAAAACATGGAATGGCCTGGACACTGGATATAGTAGTACGTGTAGTAGCATCTTGCGACGGTGAAGGATGGAGGGTCATTACACGTCAACCTCTGAGTCAGAGATGACCTCTCCAGGAAATTGTTTCTTTTTTTTCTTTAGGCTAGGAGTTAGAGAACGTTTGAAACATATGAAAGGGTCAGAGTGGCTTTTGTCGAAGAACATATTTGGAACTTTTTGTTGTCGATCATGCATGTTATGTACATAGAGTAACAAAAGGTTGTGTGTGGTTATGAAGAACGACATTTTCAAAGTAGGCTAACGGGTGTGGTAAAACAGCAGATCGTTGCCCGCACACTTGACTGCTGAAAGGTGAACTGTTGATATTCTCTGCTCTTTGTATTTCTTGTAAGTTTCTCCTATACAGAGGCATGCTTATTACTTGTATTTCTATATGGGCAGTCACGCATTCAATGAAATCATCAAGCGAAAAAGAGCACACACAAACACAGACTAATTTACGTAAACTGGATCAAACAATCCATTTTTTGAAGGAACCTTGTGTCTTTGAGAATGTTGACGAAAAGACGCGAACACCTCCCCCCCCCTTTCCCTCCTTCCACCCCCCCTCTTCCCTCACTGAAGAATATTCTAGGAAAAAAAAATCAAGACAACTGTGTTTTTCCTCAGGACATGCAGTGGTCGCTATGTGTTGCAACAGTCCTGGTCACCTTACTACAGATATGTGACCCCCAATTTCCCCAAATAATGGAACAACCCAGAGTTCTAGACTCGCTACGATTGGCCAACATATTGATGGAACGACCCATAGAGGGCCCTAGCATTAGGAAAGAATGCCGGATGCTTAACTCAACAGAGTATCAGAAAATTGTGAATGCCATCAACGCTGCCAAATTGGACACGGTGAGTTTTTGAATGCTGGATAATTATATGGGACAGAAAATAAGCGGTACGGGTTTAATGTCCTTTTCAACGCAGTAACAATACTTAAGATTCTGCATCTCTGCTGTTAACACCAGTCACTGGCAGAAAGGCACCGAGTGGAAGAAAACCATTCTTATTCACAAAACAATTCAAGTACATGCACTCAAAGGTCCTCCTGGACTCAGATTTAGGATTCGTTTCTGACCTTCAGTTGTTGGAGAGTTCCAGTACCAAACACGCCATTCTATCGAACATTGGTCTTGGCTTAGTTAAAGAGAGTCCATTGTCTAAAAAATATACATTGTACTTTAATATGAATAATCACGTATACTTTCTGTAATCGAACATGGTAAAGCATAAATCGTAGGCACAAGCAGGTTGGGGGGT